CCCCCCCCCCCCCCGAACAAGCTGCCTGCAGCCCTGTCCTGCTCCCTGCCAGGGCCTGGCAGCCACACATTCTGCTCTCAGGGCCCCAAGCCCCCCAGGCATGCCCAAATCCCTCCCTCCCTCCCTATGAGGGCCTTAATCCCCCCCTTCCTCCCCACCAGACTTACCTGTGGGAGCTGCTGTTCAGGCTGCCTGGCGGCCATGTGCATACACATGCATGTGGTGCCCCCTGCCTGACTGGCCCCCTCCCACTCCCTGCAGCCCCTTGCAGGCTGAAACTCTGCCAGCCTGCAGAGAGCTGTCTTCAAAAGTGTGAAATCCATGTGTTTCTCCCTTAAAATGAGAAATCCGTATTTTTCTCTGCTACTCATCTGGTATAACAGAAGGGAAATACATACCTTAAATTACACTTCACAAGGTGAGGATTTCTGTAGATGGATAACAGGTAGCTAACAGACAAGATAATGAAGAACAAGACCATTAAAGAGGATTGTTATCCCCTATGGAGTGCAGAGAGGTTAGTAGGGAGCAGGTTGATTATAATGGGCAGTAAAGTCAATACCTCTTAAGTCCCTGGTTTTAAGGCCCTTGGCACACATTCATTTAAAGATGCTATGGGATCTGATCCCCAATCCTAACATTCATGTTTTCTGCCATGCCACATGTGCATGACATGAAATACAATTTTGGGATTAGGGATTAAATCCATGATGTACCCTTTATACTTCCCAGTTCAGGGGGAGCCCAGGGTCATAAGTCTAAGCTTATAAATCCAGGGCCAGGCCAACAACTGATTGTCAGTCCCAGTCCTAGCCCTGTTACATCTTCAGTATAAGGTGCCATACAAACCAGTCATAAGATTCTACGTTATATATAGTACATTTTTAAGACTGGTTTGCCATTTTACAGTGCCCTAAATTGGGTACAACCTTGCCATTTATGCTGTGATTAACATGTTCATCATAGCATAAATATAACTTGTAAAAGAGGCCTTAGTATTGAGTAAGCCAATGAATTTCTGTTCCCAGACCTGTCTTTTGAAGGTGTTTTGCTGTCAGCTCCCTGAGACTGTCTTTCTTTATACTATTTTTATTTAAATACAGAGTTTTTTCACAGGCTTTTATTCTACCTTCTATTTAGCTGAAACTGTCTTTTTTCCCTCTTACCCAAAGAAATTTACCTGCTGCCCAACAGCTCGCCTGTATCCCTCCCAACTATACGGTTGCCCAACAGAAGTTATCACCCACAAGAATCCCTACCTCTTGCATTTTTCTTGGACCATCACAGCAACATCATCATTCTAACACGACCTTAAATGATCAGTAAAATTATTACAAGGAAAATTTAACACCTGGGTAGAAAGTAATGCAAAAGCCATGTACCCAGGAGAACAGTATGCATTATGTAGCCTGACTACATAAACGAGTTGTTGGGAGGGAGGAAGCTCTGGACAAAATAAGCACTAGATAAAATAGTCCTAATACAATGAGGCATTGGGAACAGGAGCCAGAACAATCAGTTGTTGGCCTGGCCATGAAACTATGGTCGCCTTCCTTGCCAGTGCAGGGGGAGCTCAGGCTCATGACCCTGGGCTCTCCCTGCACTGGGAGGTATAAAGGATACACCATGGATTTGATCCCTAATAGGATATAGGAAATCAGAAACTGCTTTGCCTAGTATTTCCCATTTGCTGTAGATGACTCACTGTTTTTGTGGTTTGGAGATATATAAGGCTGTCTATTGGCAGAGTGAGAGGACTATGCATTTCTCTGGGTGGAAGAAGACCATACTCTAGAGCAGTGGTTCTCAGCCTTTTGCACATTACGTCCCACCTACGTAAGGTCAAAAAATCCTGGTCATACCCGTTAACAAGCGGTGGGGGAGGGTCCCCAGGTGCCAGTAAAAAGAGCAGGGGGGAGGATCCCCTAGCAGCCGATCAAAGCACGCAAAAGCGAAACTGGAAGTCCCACAATGGCACTTCTTCTTTCAGCACCACCACCTGAGTCCCATGTAAAGGACCTTCACATCCCACCAGCTGAGAAACCCTGCTCTAGAGCAGTGATTCTCAACTAGGGTTTGTTGGCACCCAGCAGTGTCTTGCCCAAGGGTGACATACAAAGTTAATACTGCTGTAGGAGTTCTGGTTGTGCTAGTTCATAATAATGCTAAGCTACAATGCTGAAAAGCAGTATAGGAGAAAGGGTCCTCATGACCACTGGATGACCAGATAAGAAAGAAAAATATGAAAACACTAATGAGCAAAAAGACACTTATTTAGAGAGAGAAAAGCTGAAAGAGAAAAGCTGAAAAACTTGATGAATGAAAAAAGTAAAAACTCACTAATGAGACAGAGATAAGAAACAAAGTCTAGGTGTGTAATACTTTGTAAACAAATCAAGTAACGATGAACATCTTGACAGAGAGATATAAGATTTAGCACAAGATGGTGGTGGGGAGGGGCAGGTGCACACAAGTATAAATACAGGGGCTGGGAGACTTGTCTCTTGTAGAGACCTAGGGCAGTGAGAACAACATACTATGTCCATACCTGTCAAGGACAAGCTTCACCAGGTTGAACTGACTCTGAATTAGCCCAACTGATATACTGTCTGAAGACAGTAAACTTTCTGAGCTTTTGCCACTGAACATGGATCTGAATGGTTTTTTCTGAGTTGCCTTTGGAAACTGAGTTGTCTTTGGACTCCAACAGCCTGTATATCAAAAGTGACAGGAACCAGATACCACCCAAGAAAATACTTCGCATGCCTCAGTGTGCAAACATGATTAACAAAATGAAGCCAGAAGTTTCAAACAGGAATCCACAGTGTTAAAAACATTCTGCCCTGTTGTGGTCTTTCTGAGTTCTTTGCAACAGAAGAATTTCTCTATAATTTTTTTTTTTTTTTTTTTCAAAAAAAAAATTTTTCTTAAATTTTTTTTTTTTTTTTTTTCAAAAAAAAAATTTTTCTTAAATTTTTTTTTTTTTTTTTTTCAAAAAAAAAATTTTTTTATAATTTTTTTTTTTTTTTTTTTTTTTTACAGAAAAGAGTGAAAGCTAAAAGCTGGCATTTTCTGAGGGATGCCTCAAGCCTAAAAAAGTTGAGAACCACTGCTCTAGAGGCAAGCTATGTACATGTTGGGCTAGCAGTAACAACTTAGAGGCAGAATAAGATCTGAGCCCTAGGCTCTATCTATATGTAGTAAGAGAATCTTTATCAACACTGACAATGCTGTTGTCTTTCTCTGTCCTGGGCAAAAACAGACTATTGAGGATCATCTTCTCCCTGAAATAGAAGAGGGAAAACAAGACTTCATGTGCCATAGCCTACAAGGCTACACCTAGTAAAAAAATCTCCTGAATCCAGCATGGAAGTAGATCTGAATAAACCCCATATATTTGAGGTGCTCAGCACAATAATGCCCACAGAATGAAAGCAATAATCCATCTTAGTTATTTTAAGGAGTTTTTTATGTGTTCATTTAATGTTTAAAGGAGTTTTGATTTGTTTATAAACTTCAGACGGATCATAAAATTTAACAGTGTAGCTTTCCCCTTAAAGTGTCAAGGACAGCAACAGTTTTGCCTAAATTGACAGGACATTATCACTTCTAACTTGTAACACCTAAATACCTAATATATAACAAATAACAACATGTTCCTATATACCTGCAATCTTCACCGAATTAGTAGCATAATTCTATTGTTGTTTTTTCCCCCTCTCTTTTCCTTTAAAGGTTTGGCACTTGCTGGAGCCTTTGAGACTTTGCTCTCTCCTACGCTTTTGAGAATTATTCGCTTGGCACGGATTGGCCGAATCCTAAGACTAATTCGAGCAGCTAAAGGAATTAGAACGCTCCTTTTCGCATTATTGATGTCCCTTCCTGCTCTGTTCAATATTGGTCTGTTATTGTTTTTTGTCATGTATATTTATGCTATTCTTGGCATGAATAATTTTGCCTGTGTTGGTTGGCTTGGCGGGATTGATAACATTTTCAACTTCCAAACCTTTGTTGGCAGCATGCTCTGTCTCTTCCAAATTACAACATCAGCTGGGTGGGATGGGCTTCTGAACCCTTTGTTAAATAGCACTTCATGTGCTCCAAATTTAAATCTAACAAATTTAAATGTTAGTTGTGGAGACCGTTCTATAGGTATTCTATTTTTTGTTAGTTATATCATCATAACATTTCTCATTGTTGTAAACATGTACATAGCTGTTATTTTAGAAAACTTCAATGTTGCTACTGAAGAAAGCACAGAACCTCTAAGTGAGGATGACTTTGATATATTTTATGAAATCTGGGGAAAATTTGATCCTGAAGCAACTCAGTTTATTAAGTATTCTGCACTTTCAGACTTTGCAGATGCTTTGGCAGAACCCTTACGCATACCAAAACCAAACTACCTTGAGCTTATAGCAATGGACCTTCCCATGGTCAGCGGAGAGAAGATCCATTGCTTGGATATCTTGTTTGCTTTTACCAAACGAGTGTTAGGAGAATCTGGGGATATGGATGCTCTGAGAGTACAGATGGAGGAAAGGTTTATGGCTGCCAACCCATCCAAAACTTCTTGCAAACCAATCACAACTACTCTTAGAAGGAAACAGGAGGAGGTTTCTGCCATTGTTATTCAAAGGGCTGTCAGGAGTTATTTGCTTCAGTGTTCTGTGAAATAGGCCTCTTATACCATCTCAGGAATTGTGACAATTATATCTGTGAAAAGGAGGCCCCTAAGAAGGAAAATTAATTGCATTCATACTGAATGAAAATTATGGTAGTCAGCTAGATAAATCACAAACTGCCTTTTCCATGTCTTTCCCTTCAACTTATGATAATATCACTGAGCCTATTGATAACCTTCAGGTTATGGCAATTACCACACTCCAGCAGCCTCCCATATCTTGTGCATCAGCATCCCCGTGCTTCAAAATGGCAGTGAAGGTGCTTGAACTAAAGCTCATCAAACAAGCTTTATTTCAAGCACCCTGCCACCATTTTGAAGTGCAAGGACATTGATACATGAGATGCTGCAGTGCTTTAATTAGAGCAGCTCTCAAAGCTTCTGTAATTAAAGTAGCGCCCCCCTACCCCCATCCCTGGAGCACTGGCAAAAGTGCCCATGGTGTCTTAATTCCAAAGACTGATTCAAATCAGCCCTGCTGAGTTGCTGCAAAACTGCTTACGCATGTCCAGTTTGGTCATAAAAGATGCCAAGACTTGCGGTTCTGAAAATGTTCAGAAATGACCCAGATCAGATGCCTGGGTGTCTCAGTCCATCCTATGCTCAGTTATAAATCAAATTGGTGGTGGGGAAATGACTAACTTCCACCTAACTCTCTAATTCAGAGGTTGGCAATGTTTCAAAGCCAGGGACTGGAAAAATCTGGCTCTAGTCCAAGGCGAGCTGGAGTTCTGACTTAATGGCTGCTACTGCACGTTTTCCCAGACACCACTTCTACCCATTTCCCAGATGCAGCACAAGAACAGCTCCCTGTCGCCCAGCTCTGGCATAGCTCCTTACCACTCTGTTCTGGCATAGGCAAAGCCCCTGCTACCAGAACACCAACAAAGTACTGCCTAACCCATCTTTAGGTACCTAAGGGTGAAGTTGCATGTTACACTTAAACCATACTAAGGACACTTAAAACATAAGTGTCTGCAAATTAAAGCTTCTTGTTTCATACTAAGTGGCTTCTGATTATCTCAAAGTTATGCCATGTCAATCAAGGCTATTAACTGGGCCATGCTACCTAACTTGTGTTCAGATAACTTAAGTCTGCACCAGGGTGGTAAAACTAGAAATTTGCAGTCCTCCAGTATCCCAAATGTTATTTTGTAATCTGACAGGAAATGTCAGGGTACACATTATCTTGACAGAAGATTGCTGTTAAGTCAGAAGCAGGGGCTATGTTTCAGTAGTAGATCTCTAATGGATAAATAAGCATGTTAACTCTGAGGCTGTATTCATCAATGTTGGCTGTGAGCACTCTTAATGGCAAACGCTTACTTAAGATTCTGAATGAATGATTCTGTATTCATATTCTTGTTGATTTTCTCTGCTTTATAAAAATCTTTCCTACCCCGTATTTCCATCATTCAGTTTACTATGATAATCATATTATTAGAGAAGTACATCCACTGAAACATAGAAATTTAGCAAAAATAGCTAACTATTAGAATAAGAAAGCTGAAAATACTTTCCATGTTGCAGGCAGACAGAACAATACTTGCTGCTTCAGTCAAAAAATTGACATAAAAAAGGTCATTCTTTGTTGCCTTAAGAAATATTGTAAAAGTGTAATATCCCTGTATGCTAAAAATAATTATGTAATAAAGTTCAGATATTGCAGAAGACCTTTCTACCGAATGCTTTACAAGTAAACTGAATTTCTTTTATTTTTATAAGGTTCTACTGAAGCAGTGTATTTACCAATTAAATGACGTTTTATTCATATGCACCTGTAAAGCAGTTTTGAAGTGGGTTGTAACTAAATGCATTAAAAACTCTCTACAAATACCAAAATTTTTGTCAAAGGCATTGTGAAGCTGTTTTTCTCCAATTAGATTGTATTTTTCTTGAGTACTGAAACATAGTTGTTTGCATTGTAAATATGAGCACTAATTAGGCTCATAGGAAATTAAGAGTAAAAGAGACCTCATGAGGTCAGCTAGCCCAGCCCACTGCTTATGGCAGGATCATTCCTCACTAAAACATCTCAGTCAAGTTTCTATCTAATCTGCTTTTGAACATTTCCAGGGATGGAGTTTGCACAACTTCTCTAGCTACCCTGTTCCAATGGTTGACTTCCCCATAGTCAAAAAGTTCCTCCTAATCTCCCACCTAAATTTCTTCTGCTGCAGCTTGAAGCCATTACTTCCTTGGAGCCTCAGTTAATCTTATAGGCAAGTCTATTAATGAAAACATTTATAACAATATTTCAGTGGCAAACGTGCTTGTAGACTTCTAAATCTACATCAGTCCCATAGAACCCTCTGAAAAAATATGGCCCTTTAGAGATGTATTAAATACCTCTTACTGGAAAAGGCTGGGATTCTGAAAAGGGTCTGGGGGAATTAGGTGCATACATTTTATGAAAATTAAATCTGTTGGTGTGTAACTCCTTTAGGACCCTTTGAAAACGCTAGACTGAAAGCATGAAAGGTGCAGCTGTTTTCTCCTGCCATAAAGTTAATGACAATAAATAAATAAACAGAAACCAAAAACAGTGGATTCATAGAGTCATAGATGTTAAGCACAGAAGGGGCTCTTTATGGTCATCTTCAGTCTCACATCTTGGGTGAAGCAGAACATAGTATTTCATCCATAAATACTGCTTTGAACCTTTGAAATATAACTTGGACTTCAAATGATGCAGCATCCAACAGATCCTTTGGTATGTTTTGTTGTTGTTGTTTGGTAAACTGCTCCAATAATTAGTTAAACTCATGAATATTGCAGGGCACATTAAACTATTTGTACCTGAAAAATATCCCTTTTGTATTTCTAATTAAGAAGGAAAAGCACTTCTTTTCTTGTGAAATTATTTTGCTTTAATTAGTATTTATGAGCACCTATACATGTGCCCAATGCGTGCTCCAACACTTTCTAACTAGAACAATTTGATACTTTTGGCCAATACTTATAAAGAAGTAGAAAAGTTTTGTAATGCCTGCCTGGTATACCAGATGACCTCATGAGCATTACCAAGGAAGGCGGAGATAATGCTACTGCTACTCCCCAACCATAACAGCAAGTTGTTAGCATGATGGCAGGGCTCAAACAAGATCACACAAAAGGTGGAGCCTGTAGATTATGAAATCTTTCACCCTGGCCAACAATGAGAGAAACAGATATTTCATATAAATTTGCTAAAGCAGTCAAAGGACCCTCCTGGGGGCTATATGTTAGACCCAGGAACAAACCTGGAAGAGTTAGGCCCCCAGAAAAGAGAGGATCTATACCACAAGTAGGGGAATATATGACTCTGGAACAAAGAAAACAACTAATTCAAGTGGTTGAAGACTATAGTAACCTTTTCCAAGAAGAGCCAGGGTTAGTCATGGGAGCAGTCCATCATAAACATACTCCTCAGGAGTGATAGTACAGGAACATTTTCCTCAAGAACTCCAGGAAGTGGTACAAGAGGTGATACAAACGTTAGCCTGAGGCATTATCAGAGAAACATGAAGCCAGTGGAGAAACCCCTTAGTGGTGGTGCATAAACCAGACAGCGCGTTGGGATTATGCGTTGATTTTAGGAAGGTTAATGAGATCGCAAAGTTTGATGCTTTCATAGATTCATAAATGCTTGGGTTGGAAGGGACCTTAGCAGATCATTGAGTCTGACCCCCTGCCCTGAGCAGGAAAGAGTGCTGGGGTCAGACAACCCCAGCCAGGTACATGTCTAACCTCCTCTTAGACCCCCAAGGTAGGGGAGAACACTACTTCCCTTGGTAGCCCATTCCAGGTTTTGAAAACCCTTACCATAAAGAAGTTCTTCCTGATGTCTAACCTAAATCTGCTCTCTGTCAGTTTGTGGCCGTTGTTCCTAGTTACTCTAAGGGGTGCCCTGGTAAACAGAGCATCTCTTCTTCCTTGCTGTCCCCTACTGATGAATTTGTAGGTGGCCACAAGATCACCTCTCAGCCTTCTCTTGCAGAGGCTGAAGAGATCCAAGGCCCTCAGTCTCTCCTTGTAGAGTTTTGCCTGCAGGCCCCTAACCATAGGCCCTGTGTAGGGCCCTCTTTCCCCATGCCCAGTGTAGAGGAGATGGTAGAGAAGATTGGACAGGTCCACTACAGCTCAACGTTGGATATGAAAAAGGGATACTGGCATGTACCCGTAGCCCCAGAAGATGGGGAGAAAACAGCCTTCAGGACAGCCTAGGGGCTGTTCAAATTTCAATGGATGCTTTTTGGATTACATGGGGTGACTGCAATTTTCCAATGCCTAATGGACCAGATACTGAACCCCAATCAATGTTGTGTGGCAGCATATACAGATGACGTAATAATTTTTTCAAACACTTGGGAGCAGCATTTAAATCTTCATGAGGTATTAGGGACAATACAGAGAGAAGGACTAACCACAAATCAACAGAAATGTCACTTGGGCCAATGGAAGACCAAGTATTTAGGGTTTGTGGTGGGTCAAGGCTGAGAAAGACCTGGACTGAATAAAGTAGAGGCACTCCAAAATTATGCAGCCCTTAATACTAAAAAACAAATGAGGTTCTTTTTGGGACTTATATAATTATTATAGAAAATTCATTTAGCACTTTTTAGAAATAGTAGCACCCCGGTAGACCTAACCAAAGGAAGGTGACAAGCAGAGATTCAGTGGACTGACATGGCTCAGGAGGCCTTTAACACTGTTAAAGAATCTCTGTGTGGAGAACCAGTACTATTTACTCCAGATTTCACCCAGCAGTTCTTCCTAGAGACAGATGCATCTGGCCTTGCCTTAGGAGTCGTCCTGACGCAGAAAGTGAGCAGACGCAGAAGACGGGTGGCCTACGCTAGTCATAGGCTCCTGAAGCATGAGACCCATTATACCACGATTGAGCAGGAGAGTTTGGCTATAACATGGGGAATAGAGATCTTCAAATATTATTGGATGGGTTGAGAGTTTACCCTTATCACAGATCAGCTGGTTACAGTTCAATAAGGTGGACACTGCCAGAATTACGAGATGGGCCTCGTCATTTCAACCTTATCACTTCAAGATCGAATATAGGCCAGGAAAGGAGAATAGCTGATTTCCTCTCATGCCTCTATGAACCAACAGAGACCGAGACACGAGCCCCTCAAAGACCTTCTGCAATGAGGATCTCTGACTTAAATATTAAGGGAAAGGGGACTTGCAGCTTTGTGGGGGGATGTGTGGCAGAGCAGGGGAGAACAGGGAAAAATC